CCCGTGTGGGCTCTGTGCCCTGGCTCCTGGCAACCTGCCCTGAGGTTGGTTCTCACGCTCTGGAACCCTGTAGGGCCGCCTGACCCCCGCGTAGCTGTGGCAGGCGTCACATCCCCCAGATGAGTGACGTTTACAGAGCAGGACCCCAGCGCTGTTAAAAGTGTAAACTTGGTATTGAGAATTGCCCAGGTCACAGAATAGACACAATGAGCGACCCATGGGGGGGGAAAGACCTGGAACAGATCCGTTTGCAGAGGGGAATATCCCATAACAGGAAAACCACAGATCAGGCGCTGAGAGCTTGGACCAGGCCCCCGGGGAAGAAGAGATGGTGAAGCCCAAGGACCCTCCAGCCCCAGATGCGACCGAGGAGCCCCCCACAGGGGAACTGGCCCGACTGCACCCCCCAAGAGCCCAGGAAGAACACGAGCACCAGAGACTGATGGGGGAACTGCGGGTCAGGGAGACCGAAGCAGCCCAGACAGTGGCAGACCCCACCAGAGGCAGACGGGAGCTCCAGCAGTGAACGGAGTTTCTCTAACCAGTGATCACACACACACCCCCAGCACCAGGGAGTGGGAGAAGGTCTGCCCGACTGCACAGAAGAGAGACTGTGTGGGGCGCGCAGTGTCCCAGAGGACAAGCACATGCCTGTCCTCTTAACCAGATCATCTGGGAAAGCCAGACAAGCTTATAACGATCTGGAGCAGGGCGATGCTGAGGTGGACAAGATTTGTAAAGAAAATGTGTTGGAAAGATTGGAGCTCACCCCTGAGCCCTCTTCAGTGACGTATCGAAACACCGGAGTGTTTGACAGGGTCACTCACCTGAATATGTGCACACAATGGGTGATTTTGTGAGACAGTGGATAATGGGGGCAGGGGCCGATGGTGATCATGAAAAATATCATTCTGGGATGTATTAGCGGGACACAAGAAGTCGTTCTTCCGCTCTGCTCTGCGCTGATACGGCCTCAGCTGGAGTATTGTGTCCAGTTCTGGGCACCGCATTTCAGGAAGGATGTGGACAAATCGGCGAGTCCAGAGAAGAGCAACACAAATGATGAAAGGTCTAGAAAACATGAGCTAGGAGGGAAGATTGAAAAAATTGGGTTGGTTTAGTCTGGAAAAGAGAAGACTGAGAGGGGACATAACTGTTTTCAAGTACATAAAGCGTTACAAGGAGGAGGGAGAAACATTGTTCTCGTTAACCTTGGAAGATAGGACAAGAAGCAATGGGCTTAAATTGCAGCAAGGGAGGTTTAGGTTGGGCATCAGGAAAAAATTCCTAACTGTCAGGGTGGTTAAGCACTGGAATAAATTGCCCAGGGATGTTGTGGAATCTCCGTCATTGGTGATTTCTAAGAGCAGGTTGGACAAACCCCTGTCAGGGATGGTCTAGATAATTAGTCCTGCCCTGAGTGCAGGGGACTGGACTAGGTGACCTCTCGAGGTTCCTTCTAGTCCTATGATTCTAGGATTCTATATTCATCAGCAACTTCTGCAGCCTCTAAAACTGTGGATGGTTTTTGTCGCACATGGCTGCCTTCACCTCCTCCGTAACTACCCCAACAATGGCTCCTTGGCCACCAGATCAAACAGTTTCTCATGATCACCTTCAGCCCTTGCTCCCATTACCCAAGAGTCTATGGGGTTTGCCCCTTTCAATCTCCTTTGGGGAGACAGGTGTGGGGACCCCGGTCTTGGGAGGGTGGTACAGAGGAGACAGGACAGTAGGGGAGTGTGATAGCGAATGTAAAGGCTGTGATGGCCCCGTGCGTCAGAACCTTGAAGGAGGCTCGGGCTGGAGAGGCGTCTTTGGGCACAGGTGACGCCGTGGGGCCAGCACTGATTCCAGTGAGGAAGGACAAGATGCAGGATTGTTGGAGGCACTTTGGGGGCACTGGAGAGCGTGAATGCGGGCAGGGGATGTAGGGGAGCCCCGTGGCCAGGCAAACGGGACATGTTAGCAGATGGAGAGCATACCCCGAAAGGACAATGAGGGGAACGTGGGAACATTTCCTGCCCCGTGAATAGATTTGATCAGGGAGGGTAAGGGAGAGATGCCTCTGGAGAGCACAGAGATGTGGCAGGGTCTGAGCCCACCCCAAAAGCAGGAGACGTTGCTGGCAGGTATTTTCCAAGCGGCCAGGTTTAACTAACAGAACAGCGCATGCCACTGACACTGCAGGGCCCCCGCTGCCCCTCGAGGAGCGTGCCGGGCCATCGGAGAAATCCGACAGATTCAGGACGAGGTGGAGCATGAAGCCCCTGGGCATCTCCTGTCGGGATGGTTCCTCACAGGGATAAAACCAGGAGATGGGTTTTAGAAGGGTAAAGGCCGGCCTGGCCCTTACCCCACACCGCGGAGAGAGGCCCTGCTAATGCGTGCGCAGTTCATAAGCACTCTGGATTTGACTCATGGCTATTGGCAAATTCCCTTGAATGCTGTGGCCAGGAAAGGTCAGTTTTCCCAGTGGAATCTGGTCTCTCGGGGGTGGAGGTTCATTAATGCAGGGGGGGGGGGACTGTCCTGCGGGGATCACAGACCTTCTCCAGGGCCTCTGCAGACGGCTTAGCTGTTCTTAGACCACCTGAGCCATGTGGGAACTGTATTGCAGAGGGGTAGAGAAGCCAACCTCACTAGCAAGGTGTCTCAATGCAAGCTGGGGGCCACAGAGGTACCTTGCCTAGGACGCAGGATGGGCAGTGGGTTGGTTCACCCCGACCCTTTGAAGGTGGAAGCCATGCGGAGCTGGCCTGCCCCACAAACCAAGCAGCAGGTCTGGCCAGCTATCACCGGAGGTTTGTAAAGGGGTTTAGTGACATTGTGACCCCAGAACAGACCCTACAACAAAGGGGAACTGGAGCAGGAGGCCTGAACCCAGGCCTGGGAGAAAGGTTTTGTCTAAAGAGCCAGTTTCAGCCGGCCCTGATCTCAGCAAACCCTTTGATTCATGCCCCGATGCTGCTAACACTGGGCTTGGCGCAATGCAGGTGCAGGCTGTGAAAACCTGACCTGCACTGCGCAGAGCTAGGCTGGCATGGAGCGGGGGCGCTGTGCCATCGCTGGAGACGGAAAGCCGCTTCTCTGTCACACAGAAGATGTAAGGTCCGACCAGACCTCTCCCCATTGGGGCCCATTGGAGGCTGCCCTGCTGGAGTGTGGCGCGGCAGGAGTGGCAGAGAGAAATAGCCGTAAGGAGGGGAAAGATGGCGTAGAATAGGGGAACCTCAAAGCCCTGGCTGGGATGATTTAGTTGGGAATTGGTCCTGTTTTGAGCAGGGGGTTGGACTAGATACCTCCTGAGGTCCCTTCCACCCCTGATACTCTATGAACCCTGGGGCACGTTCAGGAGCATCTGTGACACCTGGATGTTGGGGGTCGCGTCAGGCTGCCCTGCCGGGGCTCAGAAGCGTGAGAACCAGTCTCAGGGCAGGCTGCCAGGAACCAGGGCACAAGCTCCACATTGGTTGGGAGATCTGTGCTCCGATTTCACCAACCAATTACCAAGTGCAAACTCCTCAGGGCCCGTAACAGCCTGACCACGGACGTCCAGCAGACATCCCCTTGGGCGCTCTGGTCTCTCGCCCCCAAAGTCCAAGCCGCATAGAGATACAATTCCCTCTTGTTAGGGGGTTTTATCCCCCTTTCCCCACGTGCTCTGAGCTGCCAACTCAGCCAACTGGAGGAATCCACTTGCACGACTCGTGTTGGGCAGGACACGGCACCTGTTGGAGACCAGCACTTCCCACACTCCTGTCCCTCTCCCGGCTGGTGAGTTACACACTCGCAGTACAAATGCTCACACGGGACTACCTGGGATACAGCTGGGATCAGTGAGATTAATGCAGGCAGCAGCTCATAAACATTCCCTAAAACACCAAACACATTCTCCTCCCCCTCGTGCCCGTTTTCACAACACGAGCACCCAGGGCAGCCAGACTGGTTCCAGCCGGGAATTGGTCACTGTTCAGCTGAGACACGGGGACCTTGGCAGGAGCTGGCACCCGCTCTGCAGCGTCAGAGTGGGGTGATGCTGTCCCAGAGTCCCCGGGCGATGCTCTGGAACTGCTCCCCACAAAGCCAGGCAGGACTTTGGGGAGCCTCCTCTCCCTCGGAGCAGACTGTCCTCAGGGCAAGGAGCTCACACAGCTTCACCTCCTGGGTCTCTCCTGGGAGCATTCAGCATCTGCCCCTCCGTGTGCTTCCCACAGCGAGTCCGCCCAGGCGGGGTCCTGGGGCAGCCAGAGGGTCCTGCACCCCCACTTCGCAGTCAGACGTGACTCTCAGCCAGCCAGTAACACAGAGGTTTATTCGATGACAGGAACATGGTCTAAAACAGAGCTTGTAGGTACAGAGAACGGGACCCCTCGGCCGGGTCCATTATGGGGTTCAGAGAGACAGACACCCCCGTCTGCCCTCACTCCTAGTCCCCAGGTAGCTCCAACTCTCCAGCCCCTTCCAGCCCCTCCTGTCTCTTTCCTGGGCCAGGAGGTCACCTGATCTCTTTGTTCACCTTTAGCTATTTCCTTGCAGGAGGGGAAGGGCCCCGGCCATTTGTTGCCAGGGAGACAGAGTGTCAGTGATTTATGCACACTGGCCTTTCCCCACCACCTAGAGACTTAAGAAATGCATAGGGGAAACTGAGGCACCCACACAGTATTCAGAGGCAACATTAAGAACAGTCCCACTTCGTCACAGATGCCCAGAGGCAAGTGGGGCTGTGGAGGTGGGAATGGGCACGCGCGTGGATTTGGGCAGAGGCAGGGCATGGCTGGGCCATCCGGTCCCAGTGGTGATGGGCACCGTGCACTGCGGAGGTGGGGGTGAGCGGGTGAGGGCCCTGCCAAGCATCTGGCTTTGGGGGTGGCGCTGTGAAGAGGCCGTGGATTAACGCGCCAGGCATGCTGCGGGGGTGACTGGAGAGCTGTCCTGCTGAGTGTTACCAGCCTGCGGAGCCCCTGCTGGCCCCCTCTGAGCCCCCTTTCTCCCCCCAGGAAGTCCTGCTGAAGAGGGCGGCAGACCTGGTGGAGGCCCTGTACGGGATGCCGCACAATAACCAGGTACCGCAGGACTGGCGCCCAGCTGGACTGGCTGGGATGAGGGGGTGGGAGAATGCCCCATCGGCCTGCCCGTCACCAGGGCATCTGACCCCCCTTCCTGGGCATTGCCCAGCCTGTGCTGCCTGACGTGGCCTGGGGACCAAAGCCTGTGACAGCCCCACGCCGGCACCCAGGCAGGAGACAGGACACGGGTCCTGCCACCGCCCGGCCAGAGCCTGGTGCCTGGGGAGGCTGTGAGCAGTGACAGTCTCCTGCCAGAGGGACGTGTCCCGTCCCCCCTGTGCCCCTCACTCTGCGACTGGCTCCTGCCCCAGAGCGCGAGCTAGGACCCAGAGGGGCCATCTGGCATCAGCGCCTACCTCCCAGACCCCAGGAGTGGGGGTGGGCACCGTCTGGCACCCTGACCCGTGCACAGCCCCACCCCTCCATGCTCTCCCACCCCCACCCCTTCACTTGCCCC